GTTGGTCCAGCACTGGAAAAGCTGGTGAGACTCAGGTACTGCTGAAAATGGTGCTTTACCTGCCATGATCTCTTCTCTCCACCTGGAGCAGCAGCCTTAGCTCTGGAGCTGCTTGCCTGCACTACAGTCAGGACTGGGTCTTAATTTCCAGGACACTGGGTGGAAGAGGGCCCGGGGCAGTGAGCATCCAGCCAGCTCCCAGCCCTTCTACCTCCTCTCCTGGTCTCTCCTCCCTGTGCCTACTGCACCCAGTGTCCATGAACAGAGCTGCCCTCCTGGGGAATTGGGGCTGTTCCTTGAATCCAGCTCCCTTTCCCTCTGCCTGCAGGGTGCCAGCTGGAGGCTTTGGTCCTCCTCTCACTAAGGCATTGGTGTTTAAGGGCTGCCCTTGCTTGTGGTTGCGCACAAATAAAGATCTCACAGGCTGCTTGTTGGGGCATGAGTGGTCCTGTGCAAAGTCCCTTCCCATAGCCACATTCTCAGTATAAGTATATAGGTCATGTACCTATATCTGTCAGCATCAATTATGTTGTGTCAGTGCTGGAGCTCAGAAATGACACAGTACCCTCCAGTCTCGTAGCCTTGGGGTCTGTTTGCCTGCTCTCTCCTGCAGGGAGGTGGAGCTGAGACCGTGGTCTGCAATTTTGTGCCAGTTGGACCACGTCTCTGCTTTCTCATGTGTGCACTGGGGATGCAAGTGAGTGATGGGTCTGGGTGCCCAGGGTGATGCTCAGTAACACCATTTCTACTGACCTTGACGTGTCCAGTGTCAGATCACTAATGAGTGCTTTAGTCTCCTTGGAAATGGTGGTGGAGTTTTTGGTGGTAAGCCTGAAGACAAACCATGAAAACACCCAAGCATACTGGAACTAAGCTTCTCTAATTGACTTGACAGATGGTCAGCCTTCTTCCAGGAACTCAGCAACTCTCCCTGGCTCCAGGAGACTTTGTGACCACAAAAGGCTTGGGACATGTCACACAAACTAACAGTGCAGGGTTGGTCCCCTTCCCAGCACTGACTGCAAATCCCCCAGGGGCGATGTCTGCCTTGCTGAGCTGCACAGTGAGGCTGGGCACATGGGGATTTCTGGCAAAAGGACATCTTCTATGTCACATCCTGACCTCTTGGAGACTGCACTCCTGGACTTAGAACAAGGTCTGTTCCCTTGCAGGCAAGCACTGGGCTCATGCCATGATAGATTAAACCCACCAGATATGTTTCAATGTACATTAAAGACCGCCCTCATTAACACTTTCAGCGTCCTATGAAACAAAATCACATCGATAGAGGAGGCACGGCAGGCTCCTCCTGGGGCTGCTGTCCCCTCCATGGAGGGAGAGGCTGGCCGGCCATCCAGGAAAGCTGGCTGAAGGCAAGAAGCTAATTGCGGTACAAAGGTCCTGGGAGATGTAGTTGAAGTGTTTGTGGGCAGGCAGTGGGGCTGTGGCCGTGCAGGGCGGGCAGGGAGCAGGGGCTCAGCAGCAGCCGGCAGCGCCAGATGGCCCCGCCGGGCGCTCCCGCAGCGCTGCTCCGGCCCCGTGCAAACCAGACTGTGAGCGGCTTCTCTGGGCAAGATGAACAACTGCCTTTGGCAGCCTGGCGCTGTATTTCAGCGTGTGCTTTCCCTGGGCATGGTTATTGCTCCTTCTCCCAGCCAGCCCAGCTACTGCACCCTCCGAAGGAGCTCTGCAGCTCAGCCCGGCAGCGCTGCAAGACTTTTCTTGTGTGGCTTTCTCTATTTCATTGAAATTGTTTTTTAAATAAAGAAGCTATTTGCATTTTTGTGGTCTCATGGCTCCACAACCGACCCTCTCATTGACTATGGACCAAGCCAACAGGGAGCTTCCTTCTTTCTTTTTGCTGCTGTCTGAAGCTCATCATGAGTTGCTAATGCTGCTTTCAGTGCTGACACCCCTTGGATGCTTCTGCTGCTGGAACAGTGACCTGAGTCATTAAAAACCTTCTGCATCCCAAAAAAGGATTTTTTTTTTTTTTTTTTGCAAATTCCCACATTAGCTTTGAAGTGCAGGAGGGTGTATACATAGCTGTTTCCATTTTGTGCTTTTAAAATCTATCCTCCATGCCCTGGTAGGATTTCTGATGCAGCTGTACCAGTTGCACCATCCCTGCTATGTGGAGACTGCAAATGAAACAGAGCTCTGGATCTCCAAGGGTTTGGATTCAGAGCACAGCAATTGCAAAGCACAAGGGGCTGTTAAGAAAAGGCTTTTGAAAGCAGGCAATGTATTTCAAGGTACTTTTTAGGCAACTGCTGCAAGAATTGCTGGTGTTTAGAAAAAGCATGGGGCAGAAGATTGCCTGCAGAAGGCACATCTGTCAGGAAGGGCTTCAGAGGATGCAGAAGCCAGCAATGAGTAATGATTTGGCATGCGCTCTGCAGACACAAATCTATACACGGCCATCAAGCAGGAGAAATAGTAGTGTTTAACACTGGAAGCATTTCATCTTCCAAAGGCTGCTTCCAGCATTTGTCAGTGAATCCTCTTGACACTCGTGTGAGGGAGGGAATGTCAGCAGCAACAGCTGAGATGAAGCTTTAGACACACAATATGCCAAAGAAAATGAAAGAAGAGGCTCTTTGTGGCAACATTTCCTCTGCTTTTTCTCCCTTTTCTCCCCATGGGGCACCAGCTGTTGATGGTCATCAATGTGCCAGGGATCTGCTGGAGCACCAGAGAGGGCAAAGCTGGGAATGGGTTACCTGAATCCAGCCTGGGGAGCAGTAAAAGTGCACTGAGCCAGCACTGGCCACTTGACTGCATTTGGCAGAGTTTGGAGTTAATTTAAATTGTCTTTACCAAAATATTCCTGTGTGCTTTATGTTGGGAGCTCACAAAGTCTTGGTGTGGTGCTGCCTTCCCTGGGAACAGCTTCTGTTACTTATTTGCTTGGCTGAAACATCATTCACAGCAAGGGGTGGGAACAGAACATCTCCAAAACTCCAGTGCTTCTGATCAAACTCTTTTTACAGAGCTTAATAAAAGACCTGCATCCCTGCCAGCACCAGCCATCATCACTCTGGGTCCTGTGGTTACACAGTTTAGGTACCAAATGTAACCAATGTGTGGTTTTTCTGCCCTGATTTGACACAACCCCCACGTGGATGCTGGATGTTACTGCTGGGGCTCAGACAGATGTGTGGGTGGGCTGTGGCATGAGAGGAGCACAGAGGAGCTCCTGGTTTTGGCCAGCTCTTTGCAGGAGCTGATGTCATTGGAGGCATTTTAAGGCTGAGATGGTGAAGAGAAAGGTGGGTGCTGGCTTGTGCCAGAGCAGGGGAGGCAGGGAGTTGTGTTATTGCTGTTAGTGCCCAGCAGAGCAGCAGCAGGTCCTTGCTGCACAATAGTAAATGCATCATTTAATGCTCTCTAGAGGTTACTGGCAGTTTCCAGCCATGCTGGGCTGTAGCTGGTTGGATGGGTGACAGACACCTCATTTTCCTCTGCAGGCCTTTCCTGCTTGCTCACATCCTGGCTGGGGATTTGTCACAAATGTCCCACAAATACTGCCCTGGCAGAGCACAGCCCCTGATGGGGACTCTCCTTTGGCTTCCAGGTGCCCTTCTCTTCCCATCCTTCCTGCTGTCTCAATCTGCCTCGTCTCCCTTCTGCAGCTTGTCTCCCAAAACATTCCCTAAGCCTCTCCCCCTGTCCTCTCCCTGCTGTGCCACCATATGTGTTCCTGTCACTGCTCCTGCACACTGACTCTCACCTGGCCCCTCCCATTCAGCTGTGCTGCTCTGGGCTGCTCTCACATCATCTCTCCTAAATGGGCACAGTGAGAAGAGATATTGTTTGCCCCTCTCAGCCCTGAAGAGACCTCCTGAGACCTGAAAGCCACTCCTAGATCAGGCTCCCAGGAGAGGACAGTTGAACTTCTGGCCAGCCTGCAAAGATTCATGTTTTTCAAGATAATGGACTTTTAAGAGGCAGAGAAGAGGCAGGGATGGATCAACACTGCCCACCTGCCCCCAGGTGAGGTGGGCCCTGATTGGTACCTCAGAGGTGGTTGTCTCACCCAGACAACTAACAAGCTTTTGGGGTGGACTTCTAAGCGTCCCTGCATGTCCCCAGAGGCGACACCCCACCTCTCACATTCCCTTCTGCCTTTGACTCAGCAGCACCCAGAGTTCTTGGTGGTGGCCACACATACCTCAGCCCACCTGCATTTGTCCTCTCTGAGCCCCCAGTTTTGCTGTGCTGGGTGCTACCCTCATCCTTCTCACTTCTCTCCCATGCCCTTCCTTCTTCCTTCCCTTGCACTTTTCCTTCCTACTCCATCACTTGCTGTCCTTTGCCAGTGTTAACCATCCACCTCAATCCTGGTAAAGAGATGCCCTGACTGGAGACACCAGCCCTGCTCAGGCAGGAGGTGACACAGGAAAGCCACTGGCTTGTGCTCAGCCAAGGAGGCTCAGAGCACCAGGTTGTGCTTCTCAAGGGGTTCAGATGCCCAAGGGGCAGTGAAGGGCCACGAGGTTCTTGCACACTTTGCTGCTGCCCAAACACAGGGAGCCTTCCCAAAGCACCTTTCCCATCTCAGGCACTTGATGATCAGACTCTGCCTAAAAGAAGCCAGGGCTAAATATTTTTTGTAGTCCCCAGCATTTCAAGGCTGAAGTTTGGAAAGTGATGCTATGTGTTTGCAGGAGCACCACCTCTGCTGAATCACTAAGGCTGGGAGGTGCTGTGGGAAAGGTCCCCAGGCTGGATTCCTTGTCAGGATGCCACTGAGTGTGGAATCTCCATCAGGACACCATTCCTGGGGCATCTTCACTGCCTACACTCCAGGGGTCCCAGCCCAGTGCCTCCATGGCCTCCATGGAAGTGCCTCAGAAATGGGTTACAGCAACCACTAGGTAAATTTTATCATTAATTTTGAAAAACTTGAGGTAAAACTGCTACCAGTAATGAATGCTTTTAGACAAGGCTTAGTAGGCTTTGTTACTGTGTCCCTGTTACTCAGACACCAGCAGAACTCGATATGGCTGTTTTACTTGTTCAAATAGCTGTCTGGAGAAAAGGAGAATATACAAATCCAAGCTATGGTGGCTGCATTCAACACCAAACCCTCCAGCTTTGGGGTCAGAACTGGAGCTGTAAGGTACCCTCAAAATGATCAGGTTGTATTTAGCACTTCCCAAAGGAATAGTGTTTTTAAAAAAAGGCAAATAACCAGGAGAATGAACAATATCCCTTAATTTTCAAGGCAAAATAAAAGTTTTGGTTCCAAACTACACTGTTCCTGACCAGTATTTTAAGGCTTTGATTTTTTTTCTCTCTTTAAAAGTGAAGTATTTTTGTCTTTTGGCAGTTGAAATGCACTTCGTGGGAAATGCGTTAGCTCCCTGCACAACACTGTGAATTGGAACGGAGGAGTAGAATGGGGCAGCAAGGGAATGAACCAAAAAATGAACCAAAATAAAATAAAATGGGTCTGGGGAAAGCAGAACTTGCTGCAGAGTTTTCTGGGACAGGAGGAGGGAATTATGTATTTCTTCCTTGTCATCTTCTGAGGAGGAAAAGCCAAGGAAAGGAAGGACCTGTCCGCAGGAGCGGAGGATGCTCCGGGCGGTGCCAGGAGAGGAGGAGGAGGAGGAGGAGGAGGAGGGCCTTCAGTAGAGTCCACACCCCCGCAGGTTGTTGGCGATGATGACGTCCGTGACGGCGTCGAACACGAACTGGATGTTGTTGGTGTCGGTGGCGCAGGTGATGTGAGTGTAGATCTCCTTGTTGGCCGACTTGTTCTTGCTCTCGTACTGGGTCTGGATGTACGCCACCGCCTCCGTGAAAGCGTTGGGGCCTGCAGAGAGCCAGGGGAAAGGAAAAAGGGTGGGTTAAAGCAACCCCATCACCTGGAGCCTGCAGGGTGCCTGCAAACAGCCCCTGTGGGATGTGGGGAGCTGCTGCAGCCCAGGTGCCCTCTCTCCATCTCGGGGATGGGCACTGCTACCAGCCAGGATTGCTGCCAGGCAGGAGATGCTCCCTGACTGTCAGCTCAGCTGTATTTTTATTCTGAGTTGCTGTTTATAGAGATGAAATAGATGAGGGAGCTGAGTGTTAAACAGGCTATGATGGAAGAAATTCCACATCGTGGTGACAAAAAATAGAAGAAATGCAGTAAGTGCTTGACCTAGGGAAAAGGCTTAGCTTTTTTCCTTTTTTAGATTTTTTTTTATTAAAGCTTCAGTTTTTGATAGAAGAGTTAACATGAATTGAGGGCAGTATTGGTAGCTGTGTCCTCCTTTCCCTAAATCATTAAGAGAAAGGGACATGAAAAGATCCAGCCTCTGTTACAGGGCAAAACGGGCTTTTCTCAAAAAAACCCCCCCAAATCCCAACAAAAAGACTGATACACAATGTCCCTGTTTTAAAAGGAATTAGGATTGCAGTACTCTCTGCTACAGCCATGACTAAAATCACACTGTGAGGAGTTTCTTGTTTTGATATATAGAGATATCTGGACCAAACCTGATTAACCCTCAAATTTTATGGTAAAAAATGCTTAGAAGAAGTCATGCAAAAGAGTAGATCCTTTCTCCTCTGGCCAGCTGTGACCCTGCTCACACACATGGCTCCTTTTGGGCACCTCCTTAAGGCTGATGAAGGCTCTGGCTGGCCTGGAGTGCAGCTCCCAGCATTGCCAGGCACTGCCTGACCCCCAAAAGGCTCCAACAGTAAAACTGTCACTGCTTTTGGGTGCCTTTCTCTCCATGATGCTTTACTGATGGGAAATGCTGTTATTTGCTAGAGAGAAGCTTACTGGGGCTGGAGATGTGCTGTGGTGGAAGGCAGCTGCTCAGGGAAATCCCACTTGCACACACATGCACTGCTAGGGAAAGACACAAATTCTTGAAGATCATGGGACCTGAGAATAAGTGTGAAGTAAGAGAAGCAATGTTTTTTCTGGGAGCAGATTCTTGCATGGAGAGCTGTGTAAAGAATCAGTTCCACATGCTGAGCACAAGCAGGAGGTTATTTTATGAACAGGAAGTTGGTTGTTCAAACACATGAGGATTAAGATGCTTGATTCTTGTCTAGGAGAGCAGGGAATCACTAATGCTAGCTTGGTTTAAATCAAGCTGTGGATTCTGCTGCTGCTTTACTAAGTATTGTGGATTAGTTAAAAGCATGAGTGAATTAAGGGGATGGAAATAGTGCTCCAGAAAACAGCAGGCAAATTTGTGGATGCAGTCTTCTAATAATTCCCTGTCAGCAGAACTAATGGACATCAGAAATTTCATTTCATTAAAAGCATTTTGTGGAACCTACTTGTGATGTTGAAAGTCTGCTTGTTCAGTTTATAGGCTTTTATAAAATAATTTTTTTTAACTCTAGGGCAACATTCTAATAATGTTGCTTTTTCATGAGGCCACGAGGGTTTCATCCTGTGGGCTGTGGCCAGCAAAGCAGGGGTGAGCAGACTGAAGTGTGTGCTTGGGTCTAAAGCCTGGGCTGAATGTTAGCACAGCTAACTCATAACAGCATTGCTGAACACCTGGGGGTGAGATACCTCCTCACCTCAGATCCCTGTTGGATCAGTAAAAGGACTTTCAGCAGTCACACTTCCTGCCCTCTCTGATGACACAAGAGAGACAGGAGATCTATTGAGGGTCTCTGGTATTGTGAGAACTCCCAGCTTCCAGAAAAGCATCCTGAAGGAATTTAGAGCACCTTTTGGGTGCCCTGAGACTTGGGGAAGATTGGTTTGGTTCACCTGTGGCTGAAGGGCTCCAGACAGAAGCTTTGTTTCCCTCTGTTTAATCAGCCAAGAGCTTATCTGCATGTGTATGAATGTCTGCCTCTCCCACTGGACTTCCCTCTTGGGCTGGGATAGCTTGGGAAGGAATAAATGAAATCACATTCCTTTCCTTCTTGTTCTGTCTCTCTGACATCAGGGCTTCTGTGAGAATGTTATTTCAGACTGAGGTTTCTGGGAGACAGCAGTGAAGATCTACAAAACCAGGTGCACAAAATATGATCAGGGAAGAGTGAGAGGTGAAGGTTTGCTTCACTGAGAAAAGGGAAGGGAAGAGGCATGACAGAAACCATTCAGTATAGACAAGCACTGCTATAAAGAAGATGGTGATGAGCTGCTCTACAAGCCATCCAAAAGCAGCAATCTAATTTGCAACCAGGAAAATTCGGGGTAGGCATTATTGTGAGCTCAGCTGTAAAGACTGAAATTTCCATGATTAGATCTTTTCAGACAAATATGTTGGGAATCTGTTGGTTCTGTCTGGACCAAGCAGATGACTAGATGGCTGAAATGTGCTGGTGTGACAAACACCAAAATCTTCCCTGGAGAGGAAGCCTGCAGATGTTCTGAATTCAGCTGGAGTTGTTCAGCTCCATGGCCACAGACCATTCAGCCCAAAGCAGCAATGAGGGATCACTTTTGTCTATTCACGGTGAAAAATCAAGTGCTCAGAGATAAGAAGCTCTGGTTAATAATTTGTTGGCCTGCCCAGAACTGTGACACTCCTGGTGCTCCTGGTTCACAACTGTGTTTCCTGACAAAGAGATTGGCTTCTCTGTCTGTCGGCTTGATTCATCTGGATGTCTCCGGTGAGTTTAAATAATTCATGACGATGAAAGTTTATTTTTGTGCCATCTCAGAATGGTAATGAGGGTTTGTGGAAGCTGGGAGATGCAGAGGGAAGCAGCAGGGTGCAGCTGCAGCCTTTGCATGGGTGATGTGTTCTCATGATTAGTGGGTCAGATGCCAGGCAGGCAGCAGGAGCGGGGGCTTCTCGCACACTGCCCATCCCAGAGCTCCTGCTCTCAGCTCCACAGATCACCAAGGCCTCCTTCTCCCCAGCCAAGCTCAGGGCACAGCTCACTGTGGCTCTCCTCTGCCTGTACTATAGGTTAACAGGTGTGGGAAGATCAAATATGAAACACTTTGTTTTCTACCTGCATTTAACTGGAAGTGTTTTCATGTCCAGACGCTTGATCGGCAAACCTGAGAGCAAAACTGGGGACTCTTCAACTGCTGTGATGAAAATGTATTGCTTGAGCTGAAGCAGCCAAGCTGTGAGACCTCCTGTCTGCATACTGGAGGGCTGATCATGGAATTATAGAATGGTTTGGGTTGGAAGGGATCTTCAAAGGTCATCTAATCTAACCCCGCTGCTGTGAGCAGGAACATCTTCAACCAGGTCAGGTTGCTGAGAGCCCCATCCAGCCTAGACATGAATGTTTCCAGGATCATGATGATTCTACAGCCCACAGTGCCTGGAAGTGGAGAAAGTGGCCAGGAACTGCAGAGGGATTCTATCTGTGGCCATAAGGGAGCATGGTTGGATATGAAAGAACAAAACTGTACTCCAGCTGAGGAATAACCTAACAAAACCTGTGTGTTGGTCTCCTGTCACCCATTTATAATGGTTACACTGACTGTACCTTTCTGAGAGACCTGCAAGAAGGTTCATGATCCTGTGTGACACAGGGAACCAGTGCACACGGGTTTGGGGAGTGCACAGTGGCCCCAGAACTGGAGGTGCTGGCTTGGCATCAAACCGACTGATGAGGAGTAGATCACACACACGAATCAGTGGTGGTGGCCCACCCTGGTGGTGGTCAAGTCATCCTCCTGCTTTAAGTAGACCATGGTGGGGGGGATGCTTTGGCACTTACTGAAGTAAAACCTGTAGTGAAACCAATGGGAGGGAGCTCTAGCTCTGCATCTTTAGCCTCCTTGCCTGCAATACACTACAGCATCAGCCTGGCTGGGGAGAGCTCTGTGGTCCCTTTGCTAAGCACTCCTGTACAGCCACATTTCTCATTACCTGTGTACTCAGGAAAGCAGATACTCAGTGGAGATTTCTTAATTTTTTCCTCAAATATGTCCTTCTTGTTTAGAAACAGGATGATAGATGTATCTGTGAACCACTTGTTGTTGCAGATGCTGTCAAAAAGCTTCAGAGACTCGTGCATGCGGTTCTGCAATAGAAAGGAAAGATCACATCAGGCCAAGGCCAGCGACCCAGGGATGTTCAACATGTAGGGAAATCTAAAACAACTAAATTAAGGAGGAAAGCAACAAAAAAGAAAATCTACAATATACATAATAAATTTATGTATACGTACAGCTGAACATATACATACACAGATGCAATCCCTATTACATTTGACATACAATTAGTAACTTAAGGGCATTTAACAATACAGAGCTGTTTTGATTTTGCATAACATTAATTTACAGGATCCCAGCTCATAGAAATCATCATGCACCATGCATGGATGGAGAATTATTTTTGCCCTTTGATCAGATTTATGTGTTGGTGTAGCTCATGCAGATTTTCTAAAATGTTTTCAATAATTTTTCTAAAATGTTTTTTCCACTTTCTTGAATGTGTGTGGCACACAACTGGTTACATTAACCAAGGACTGGTAGATCCTTGAATTAATCTAGAGTTGGAAGCAGACATCAAGGTGACATAATTTTGGAAATGACCTTGCCGTGACCTTTGACTGGTTTTGTTATTTTGTTTAGTGTTTTCTGTTGTTGCGCTTTTAATTTTTAAACTTTTTGGTTTTAGTTCTCTTGGAAGACGGCTCAACAGAAAGTGTCTCACAGAGAAGAAAAAAGTGAAAAAGGAAGAGAAAATAGTATAAAAAGGAAAAACATAACAAAGAACATCTAAGAACAACCAGACTAGAAGTCAGGCAGCTACCACTGGTGTTAGCTCATGCCTCTAGAAGAAGATTAGCAGAAGAGCCATACATCCAAATGTACGCACAACGAGAAGGCAGCTTTTTGGTTATAGGTCATGCAAAAAAGGACACGGAAAAGGAGAGAGATAAGAGAAATGGAAAAACCAGACCAGTTAGAGAGTTGCAAAGTCTGCCACATGGGGTTTATGGTGGTGGAAAGAGCTCACGGCAAAGTCAACCAAGTGTCATGTTCCCCGCTGCTTTCAACTCCCAATTCGGTTTTTCTTTTTTTTTTTTTTTTTTTTTCTCGGTTCAAGAGAAGCTTCATACCTGCCAAATTTGGTTGGTCTCTCAAATGCTCATTTTTTGGCCTTTGTTTGGCTAGATAAGGTCAGACGGCCGAGGAAAAGCTGTGGAGGTGCCGAGGCTGGCGACGTTTGGCGCCGAGGCCGACGCCGGAGCGCGCACGCCGGTCGCGTGGCCGTCTCTCAGCCGGGAGCCGGGGAGCGCAGAGAGCAGGCGCGGTGAGGATGAAGCACACCCAAGAGTCAGGGATTATCAAAGGCAAAGCATGGTACAGACCAGACCGGCTCCTCGGCTTTTCCAGCGGGATCTCCTTGGGACTGCACTCCCCAAACCCGCCAGTGTGCATAAGAAACCAGTTACAGCCATCACCACAGGGACACTGGAGAGAACAGGGCTGCACGAGAGGGTTTTTGGGGTGGGTGCAGCATGTCCTGTTCCCCCCAGCCCTGGATTTAGGGGTGTGGAGTGGCACCTGAGTCAGCCGGGGGCCTTCACCCCTCTCCCACTCCATTTCACACCTGTGCTGGCATAAAGTTGAGCCCAGCACTTCACTGATTAACACATTTCTTTTCATTGATATGCTTTAGCATCTACGGAAGGTTTTATATAGATAGAAGAAGCTCCATGGATGAAAGAAACATCTGATTCAGCCCAGAGTGAAACAGGACACATGGGATTTGCTGTGCCCTGTCTTGAATGACCACACATTTCCCCACCATTTGTATCGACACACAGGGACGACGCGATCACACACAAACGTAAAAATGCATTTGCTCATTGGGTCTCAGTTGCAACACGTTGCTTATCTGGATCACCCTGTGCCTGTGGGCTGGCTTTTGCTAACCCATTTGGTACTGGCTGCTGTGGGAGCTCCTGGAGCAATGCTCCCCTTTGCTACTTGTAGTGCCAAAATTGTAACCACATGGAAACCTGGTGTACAAAGGTTTTGTACAGGAGATCCTTGGATACCCAAAGCCTTTGGGAGGAGAGAATGAAATGGAACGTGGTCAGGGGAACAGAAAGTGAATACAATTTTCCATTTTTTAAAGCAGGGTCCCTCAGAGAACATTTTAAATAACATTTTTATAATTCTTGCTGATTTAAATTAAAGTGTGGAGAAACATGGGAATTCTGCTTGTGGGCTAAACCCACAGCTCATGCACAGTAGCCATCAGCCACCTCGGCAGCCTCGTGCCATGGCCACCACACTGCACAGCCCTGGTGGAGAGCAGAAGGGTGAAACTGCTCTTCATGGCATGGGGAGCACCATGGGTGACATTGGGTTTGTCTAAGAAACAGAAGCTGAGGACTTCTGAGCTGGGCTTCATGGTTAAGTGAAGCCAACTTTTCTACAGTTGTACAACTAGGTACGGATCCTACAGAAGGCCTCCTACTTCTCTGATCCAGTTTGATCAATTTGCATTAGTTCCCAACAAATAGTGACTATTAGTGTTCAGTGGTGACCAGAATATAGAATCCCAGAATCATATACACACAGCACAAACCAATACATCCCACTAGAACATGAGGGTTACACTGAATGACCTCTATTCCTTTCAGTTTCCAGAAACAAGGTCCAAAGATTCCTAAGGCTGTCTGACCTGGCTTTCTGATCTCTACATGTTGATTTTCCCTCCAGCTTTGCCAGTCAGACAAGTAAACATAATGAACTAATCTGCCAACTCATCCTTATTTGGGTGAGTAATGTTTTGGTCTTAAAATCCACCTTTTCCTTCCCCACCACTAAAGAGAAGATGACATTATTCCAAAGCCGAAAGATGACATTATTCAAAAGACATAAATTCCTTTCTGTGTGCGGCAAAGGTGCAGAGCAATATTCTGGTGAGCAGGCACGGATGCTTCTGTTGTCATACCTGGATGCCATATGGGAAATGGTGTTGCATTCTAGGAGGGCTTCTGGGAGCCCATGCATGGACACAAGCTGTCCTGGTGCTGGCTAGCATCAGGTATCCTCACTATCTCCCTTTCCTTTCCCTCCCCAACTGTTACTGGTTCAATAGATGTTTGTAGGAGCCCTGCAACTGCTCAGGCAGACCCAGGTGCAGAGGCAAGGATGAGGAAGCAGTGTCTGGGTACCATATGTAAAAGGACAGACTGCTGCTGAAGGAGGAATAAGAAGTTAAATCCCCCATATAATCCCCCTCCTCCCAGTAAATCCACAGTGGAAGATCAGTTTAGTCCCTTAGAACTTGGCTGGGGCCCCTTTCTGCTGTGATAGACCAGATGTGCCCATTCTGCTAGGAGGAACTAAAGATTATGCTCCTCATACTTTTAGGTGAAGTGACACAAATTATTTCACCTGCTTTTGGACCCATCATGCTGCTTTTTCTCACTTTATGTTGGGTCTCTTATTAAGGGAAGAGCTCTTCAGACATTGATTTCTTAATGTCACTTCCTATTTCAAAATTGGTATTTTAAATCCTTACACTGGCAAATATTTCATACCCCAAGAAGAAAAGTAGCCCCAAAAACCATGTTACATAGGAGTAACCACTCACCCATGCACATTCAAAGTCCAGTTAACTTCTGCACAGGACAAGAGACAGAATTGCTCATAGCTGAGATCAGATGTCATTGCACAGCCATCACTGATGTGAAGAGCAAACAGCTTTTCACTCAGTGTGAGGGAGAAAAGGATGCTGCAGTCAAGACCCTGCCCAGGCAGAAACACACTTACAAAAACCATATTTTTTTTACCAGAGCATGGGAGGAGACTTGGTGTTTTCTGCAACACCCGGTTGATTCAATATTTTCTGTTTTCCTTGGTGATTAAGTGCTAGCTGTCACGTGAACTGTAAGGACACTGATGGTTTTCCTAAGCACAGCAACTCCATATTCCCCCTCCTGCTTATATTTCCTAAGATGTCCAAGCCACTTTGGCTTGCTTTGTCACTCCTAAGGCAATTTCTGAGCACTGAAATTCCATTTTCCTTGTCCAATGACAGCAGAGAGAGCACAGTAACCAGGTCATGCAGTGTGATCCAAACCAACAGGCCAACACTAATGCACGAAGGGTTACTAGCACAGAGCCTTCCACCCATCCCATCCTCAGCAACAGGGACACAAACAATGCTTGCATATCTTGCCTAGATATGGTTGACCTAAATATCTTAGCTTCAGAGGCAGCAATGTGCAGCATCAACATCTCCCTCTCTTGCCATGACTCCTTTGAATTTGTAAAGTAAAAAACCAGAGGATAGTCTCAGTTCCCATGGCAGGTCCCATTCCATTGCTGTTTTTAAAAAAATTCCATTAGGAATTCTGTTTAGAAAGAACAATGGAAATCTACCTTTGTGAATCATCTTCTCTAGTTTTACTGAGTGATATGACTGTCCCTCTCTCTTCCCAGATTACAGAGCTGAGGCTTTTCCTTCTGTAACTTCAGCTTATGAAACAAAAAGATCAGTCACAAATGAGACGAAACAGCCTTGTTATGCAAAGACATAATCCAGGGGAGGTGTTCTGCCAGTTAAAGCAGGATGTTCCCACTGTGTACAAATATGGCAGAGAGCCTGGCAGGTCCTTGTGAAGGACTTGCTAAAGGCACAGGCAGGTGTAATACCTTGAGGGCAGTGCCTTGTGTGTTGGATGGGCTGGGCAGAGGGTACCGTTTTGCCACATGAGCTCTGGCTTGGGATGTGGCTGGCAGCAATGGGACTGATGAAGGCATTGCTTGAATCTCTCTCATGCCTTGTTCCTCTCCCCTGGGAGCTGGGCACACAGGGACACAGTTTAGATTTGCCAACAGCAGCATAAGGTGTTGGAAGCAACGGGAGAAGTTGGATTCAGCAGTACTGGGAGTTTCTGTGAAAAGTGTGATCTTTATGGGTGTATGAGCCTAAAAATCACAGATGCAGAAAGTTTTCTTTATTTTCTTTATGTCTTTCTGATCTGGACATAGAGGAGTACTTGCTTTCCTCGACTCCTGCTGTGTGGCTCTTTGTGACAAGGAATTAGAGAGAAAATACATCCCTTATAAAAGACTGCCTGCCCTTAAGAAGCAGGGACAGCTTCAAACACAATGATCTTGTTTTAGCTGCTGCTGGAGGATGAGTGCTCAGTCTTTTGAAACAAAGAGCACAATAACCCACAGAACAACATTACAAGCATAGAGCTGGGTTTGAATTTTAAGGGCAGGGACAGGTCAGAAAGTGCTTCACCCAGCCTTGTTTAACCAGCTGTTTGGAAAGGATTCTCAATAAACCTGTTCGTGAGCTCTTTTTGGTGACACAAGCTGACCCTACACTTGTCCCACCTGGAGCTCACCAAGGTGAGCCTGTCCTGGTCCTCATGATGCTGACTGCATCAGAAATGCAGTTTCCTCCACCTGAAGTGTGGTTTGACTTACAGAAGTGCAAAAAGCACCTGTGAAATCTTGTGCTCGTTGACAACAGTGTGCTGAGTGCAGGAGGAAAAGCCATTCTCTATCTGCACCCCGATTTGGAAGGGGTTTTTTGGACCCTGATATACAGTCAGGTTCTTTCCCTCTCATGGCTCTATGCCAGAAATGAAAGCTCTCTCCAAGTCCTTTCATACTCATGGAGACATCTGTACAGCCCCCAAACCTTCAGTGGCTCAACACAGCTGCCAGTGTAGTAAGTGTCTCTAAAAAATGAAGCTGGAGGAGCAGCATCCAGCTCACTTTCTCAGCTGCCTCCTCTTTGTGTTTTCCAAGTGAGAAGCAATAGAAGCTGATTGACGTCATGCAAGCCGGCAGATGTGACGGATGCAGACAGCAAATCAGCTGACTGAGGAGGAGATGCTGCTGCTTTACTGCTGGGCTTTTGGGGAGGCACCACATTGCCAAGGAGGGGGCAAACGCCTGGGGGAAGTGTTTGCTTCCCCTTCAAATCACCTGGGAGGGGCCAGGGTCTGTGGGTGCCACGTTTTCCACCTGCCATTTGTGATGGGGATAGGGCAGGCAAGATCCAACACCACTGTTTTTTTCCTGTGCACTGGCCTTGCTCAGGGCTGTTTATTTGGGTTAGGCAGGGGCGTCCTGCCGGCGATGCCGAATGCTTTCGCCGTTTACGCCGAATGTGTAAATGAGCAGCAGCTGCCTCTGCCCTCCTGTTGCTCAGCATCCCCCAAAATGTGTTGTGAACAGGGACTGAAATAGCAAGCAAATGTCAGTGCTATGCCAGAGCTGCACCAGGCTGCTCTCCTGCTGCAAAGGGAAAGTTGGAGATGCACAAATCCCAGTTTCTGCAGTGTGGCACTTCAGGGGGCAGGCTGAGCTGGCTCTGGGGTGATGCTGGGTGAGGGACAATCACTGGCAGGGCTCTCCCCAGGAGAGATGCTTTAACCTCCAGTTCAGAGGAGCAGAGTAAAGGCTGACATTTAAAAATAGGCATTGGCATTCAGGCCTTTCCATTTTGTGCTCCATGGCTTTGAATCACAGGCTCTGACTTGTGTAGATGGGCACCCAAAGGTGACCTGGATTAAAAGCTGCCTTTGGCTTCACAATTTGGGTGTCACAATCCAAGCTATACTTACAGAGCACCTTGCTCTCTACTCATATCTGCTCTTGGACCTTCCCTCTCCCTCTGTGTTCTTCTGTGTCTCCTGGCTGATTTTGCTGCCCAGCTGCAGAGCTCTATAGTGTTGAGCTAATGGCTGGATTTTTCAAATCATGTCAGGAGATTTTGGTTTCTTCCCAGTAAATCCTACTGGGCTGAGCATCCTTCAACGTATCAGGGCCAGGGTCAGAGGGAGGAGACAACTGGGGATTATAAATAGGTGGACATGACAGGATGTAGAGTGTCCTCAGTCTGGAGGGAGACACAGTCATGATCACAGAATCGCAAGGACCATCCAATCCAGCTCCTGGTTCTGCACAGAACAACCCCAAGAGTCACACCATGTGCCTGAGAGCATTGTCAAAATGCTTCTTGAATTCTGTCAGGCTTGGTGCTGTGACCACTTCCCTGGTGAGCCTGTTCCAGTGCCTGATCACACTCTGGGTGAAGAACCTTTTCCTAATTTCCAGCCTAAACTTCTCCTTGACACAGCTTCATGCTATTACCAGTCCTGTGACTGGTAATGTTAATATCATCCAGAATTCTGGCATCAATATGATTCAAAAAACCAGGTGATTTCATCAAAGAGTTTGCTAGAGCTCATAAACCTGGCTCAGAGGCTACAAACCACAGTCCCCCTCGTCTTTTTGGGACAACACAAATGTTTCCCTTGATTCCATCCTCATCCATAGCTTTCTGCAAGCCTGACATCTTTACCAGCAGGAGAATAAAAAGCCTCAGAAAGACAGAGCTGGCAGGAGCAAGCTGCTGCAGATGGGCACCAATGAAATCATTACTGAGTATGGCCTCCAATTCCTTTTCATTAGACAAATGTAACTGGGTGCCCACAGCAGTTGTCATTAGTCCCAAAAACATGCATCCCCATCATACTGAATGAATGGTCAGAATACAGCACTGAGTCTTACTGCATCCTTTTTTGTATATTCAATTCACTTGTATTAATTGCACTCTAATACCAGGGAGCACACAGGTTCTTACCGGGTTTATTTCCAGATGGTATTTTGAGCCTAATGTCACAGTGGGAATTCATAAAATCTCTTCTAGAGCAAATTACCTGAGGACTTAAACAGTTCCATTCTCACTAAGGAAAACGAATTTCTGTAGCCTGAAGAAGTAGGTTATATCCCTGGGCTGAGCTCCAGGCGTGCACTGCTGTCCTGCACCTCTGCACCATGGCCTGACTGCTTCCCTGTTTAAACAGGGATACACCCAGCTGTATCCTCTTGCTGGTTATAGGTTCCTATAATGCATTTTGAGAACACAGGTTGGCTAGAAAGGAGAAGCAAACCCTCTGCCTTTACCAGTGTAAGGAAGCATTACCTGGGTATGCAGACTTCGTACCAAGGAATGTGAAGGAGGAGAGCTCTCCCCAGGATTTCAGAGGCAAGGGGACAAAAGCACATTACTGCAGCACCCCAGGGAGCATTCGGTGATCTCTGAGGAGTTGCTGGCTGTGCAGTGTCCCACACAGAGCTGCTGGGGCCTCCAGGACCCACTTAGACTCACCGTGGTTTCGTCTTCATGGAGCACCTGGTCGTAGCCGCTCAGCGCCACGCAGAAGATGATCGCTGTGACATCCTCAAAGCAGTGGATCCACTTCTTGCGCTCTGACCGCTGGCCCCCGACATCGAAGAGCCTGCAGCACAGGGGAGCATCATCACCACCCACTCCTGCCTAGCTGCCAGGGAACTTGAGCATTCTGGGCATTCTCTGACCACCTGGGTCCTGGGAGGCTCCAAACACAGAGCAGTGGGTCTTTCACTGCTAACTTGGTCTTCTCCTCCAGAGCCTGCAGCTGAGGAGAGCCAGGAGGAGCAGCTACAGAAGGGATGTGGGGACCTGTGGGAGAGCCTGAGCAGCATGCTGGGTCTCAAAGGGTCAGTGGGGGTGGAGACCACACACTCTTGACTTATATATGCTCTAAGTACTGTTTGTGTGTGGCTTTCTGTCGTTGTGCCCTCTTCTCTCTACTGGATGGCATCATGAGGGTCAATGTCTTGTGTTAGCTACATGTGACTGACCCACTTAAGGGAAAAGATCTGGCCAAATATTTTTACATTTATGAGGTTTGATCAGATTTGGTGGTCAGTCTTGTATTATACATTCCAACAAAGAGGTGTTGTTTGGGTTAGAAGAAGCTGCCATGAACTATCGTACAGGCAGTGACTTTTAAGACAGGATTGCCAAACTTTTCATATTGTTGACCCTCCAAAATGTCTTCTGTGTCTTCTGCAGTGGGAGCTGTCCATGCATTAACCAGCAATTTAACAACTTCTTCTTTAGGAACTATGGGGAAACCCTGTGATAAATAGTTGTTCTGAAAATTTACTGTACAATTTTTGACTAACCTGAAGTGGAGGTTTTTGAATGTGAAATGGGTTTCTACGATGCCAGTTGTTTTGACCCTGGTTCGGAGGATATCCTGCTCCGTGGGCTGGTAGTCTGCAGCTCCAATTCGATCTAAGCTGTCTAGGTAGCTAAGAGAAGAAGGGAAAAGAAAAAGAAAACAGCTAAGAATAAGACACACATTAATCTTTGTCAATCTCAGATGGATCCTTCAGCTTCCTATTAATCTTTTTCAATCTCATTTTTCATGGCTGAATGTATTGTAGCTAAAGCAAAAAAATATCCTATTCTGGGGAAAAACAAACCTCAGTAAGCTAAGCATAAAATCTGATAGGGAACTGAAAGCAGGAAATTAAGCATGGTGTGTTGTGGGTCCCGCCTGCAATCTGTGAAAATGCACAGTTTTAATATTAACTTGCTATTTTTATTCCCTGAGGAACAAGGGTCCAAATCAGTCCTTTGTGCTGGATTCTGTACACAAAACCTTTTTCTGCCAGGGTTTATTCAGATAAGAGGCTGCAGCATACAGGTCCTGCTCCCAGAACACACAGGTCGAGTCCCCTTTGGACATGCCTCTCTGTGCTGGAAGGGAGGGAGGGCCATGCCAGGCCTGGCTTTCAGTCAGCTCAGATGAAGGGAGATGAATCTGCACAGGTGAGTCACTGCTTCAGTTCAAAACCCAGCACAGGGCTGGGGCTGCACAAGATGCAGCTCTTGGAGAGAATCCAGGACTCAAATGGTGATAATCTGGGAGTACAAACTGGGGCTTTGGGGGAACAGAGAGGAGATTCAACTTTCTCAGATTGTTGGACAGTTTAAAATATGTAACTTTATTCTGCTTTGAGTTTAAAATCGATGAACACAGGCAATGCCTCCCTGGGCTAAAACTTGGGGTAGGAAGTCCTGTCTTTTGGCATGAAAGGTTTGTGTAGAGGAACCCAACATCTTTGCACATATGACAATAATCCAGTTTTCCATCCACATTCAAGACAATTTAAAAAACAATTTATAAAGAAAAGAGGAATTTGGATTACCATTTAATATGAATTATAAACACAGACCTGCATCACACAGCACACTCTTTCTCACCACCATTAAGCCAGCATGCAGACACTCCAGTTTCTCTTAAAAGGGGTTTGATATGCATTACAGGTTATAAATGTCCACCTCTGGCCCCAGGAGCATCAATCTAATGCTCTGAGATGCTTTCAATATATTGTGAATATAACAGAGCATGTCTGTGCATGAACAGTGATCTTTTCCTTTGATCCCTGTGCCTGGATGTCACCCAGAGAGGCAGTGGGGCAGGAGGTGACCTGATGCTGGCAGGACAGGAGGGTACCTATTCAGGTGCCAGAAGATGGCAGCTTTGCCCAGTGCAACAGGCAGAGAATAAAAAGTAGTAAGAGGAGCTGCACAGTTGCAGAGAAGGAAAAGACTTTGTTGTCTCAGGTAAGAGTTTGCTGGTGAGTGTGAGATAGTATGAGCTGGAACCATTCACTCAAGACAGCCATGATGTCTATGCTTGACTTTCAGTTTAGCTAAATGCAATTTTTTTAAAAAAACAGAACATGGATTTAGTCCTGATGAGTAACCAAACCAACCCCCCTCATTTGCTTTGCTATAGCACATCCCATTTGGCCTGAACTTGGCCCTGACCTGCTGCTGGAGATCATATCCCTGCTGCATCCAAGCCAGGAATGGCTTTCCATTTGTGCCCTGGAGGGAGTGCACTGAGCCAGAGCTCTGGAGCAGGACACCTGAGAGCTGGGGCTGTGCACTCTGCTACCCAACAAAACTCCCTGCCACTGCCTCTCATGCCTACCCCACAAGCCTGGAACAACAAACAGACAGCCAAACTCTACACTAAGGTCAAATACAATCCTCACCCTGCTCGTATCATGTATTTTCCCTACCCATCATGTTTATACTTTATTTTTCCTAAACAATTCCAAGAATCACGTCACCCAGAGGAAAGTATATAAGCTAAGCAGGCTTATTTTTGTTGTGCCCTTTTTCAAGCATTTAAAGGCATTGTGGTTTTGTGACAGATGCTCCTTTAATAACCCTGTGATGGGCACTGGATGGATGAATGGGGCTTCATTTGAAATCAGATCCTGGGCTGTGACGGCTGAAGCCACGATCACTCATCTATTCACAACTGGTGTCAACTGCTGTTATTTAAGAGACAGCTGCATCTCTTCACAGGGCCCTGCAGACTGAGGCAGCTCTGCAGTGCTGGTATTCAGAGACTCAGGCTCTTCTCTCTCCTCAGGAACTTCAAGGTGATATTAAAAAGCTGAGGTATAAGAGGGGAAATTTTCTTTTCCTCTTGAGGCTGCATTCTAGACCTGTTTAAATCTTTGGCTGCTCTACCCTAGAAAGGGGCTGGGGCAGTAGCAGATATTTTTCCCCCTGCACTTGGCTGCAGCTGAGCTGGACCCTGTTGGTGTGTGCAACCTGTGAAGCTCAGCTGGAGGAGTGTGCCATGGCATGGCTGCCACACTAACGCCCAGCTGTGGGAATGGGAGGATCAGCCAGGCTGCTGTTTGGATGCTGAGCTGATTGTAGCTGCTGCTTGTTCTCCTGGGTTCCTGCTGGAAGTATCTCTGAGGTTTCACTGAAGTGCTGGTGCTCCCTGCCCGTGCTGCTTGGAAGGACCTGCTGGTGTGAGCCTGAGCTGCGGGAGGATGGTGTACTTTGGGGGTGCCACCTCTTTGGGAACAGGGAAACCCAAGTGGGGACAAATTGCTACACATGGTTCTGGATGGCAGCACTGCTGGTACACCCTTTGAGCTGAAAATCTCAAGGCCAAACTGTTGTGAGAGATAATTAGTTGTCACAGCCAACAGGCTCTATGACACATAATCCCCTCAGAAGCTGGCATCTGTTTAACCAGCAGAAATAAGAGCACTTTGGAGGCCATGGAGTGAGAGCTCAGCTCCCCCTTCCACGTCAGTGGTGCTGGCACCAGAGCTCTTCCATTGCCCAGCTCCAGGGTTTGCACACTGGAGTGGAAGCATATCTGAAATGACACATCAGCTCTTATTTGCAGCCTGCCTTGCCCCGGGTTTGCAGGGGTTAAAAAAAGCTGAAGAAAGGTTAGAAGGTCTGTGAGTGCATGAGCAACCCTCTAGCATTTCTGCTCCTGAGCCAAGTAGTTCCATTACTGCTTATATCTTTTATTTTAAATGCTTTGTTTTGAAGCAGATTGCAGGTTTCTGAGTCACTCCCTATACCATGCTCAGGGAGGTGAAGCCCAACTATTTTATGCTGCTAAAAGCAAAATGCAGACGAAATGGCAATTCACAAATACAGGGAGAGGAGATCATTGAACAGAGGCTAAGAAAGGCAGGAGCTCTATACAGGCTAGTTGACAGCAAATAGCTATACACAGTAGTATTGCCCCTTCATTTGCTGTTTCCAAAAGCACCTGGTAGCAGCACTGTTGGTGCCAGAGACACTGCATGGAGAAAAGGAACTTTTGTCCAGGTGTCCCATGGGAATGGCTCAGCAGCAGCAGCAGCCTACGTGCAGTGCGTGCACAGGGACCCCTCCTCAGGCTCTTGGCTACCACAGGAACCTTCTCCCAGGACTGTGCTGCCTATGCCAAAAGCTGCACTGGCTGCTTCCTTGGATGAAGAAGTGCAGCTGAGGTTGCAGGCTGTGGTCAAGGCTGGATACCTGTGGCAAAGCTTACACAGACGGACATTCACATCTACTGAGCTTAACGGCAGTAAGATGGTTAAAGGTCTGTTGGGTTTTTCTTGCTGTGAGGGTGACACCTTGGCAGTCTTTTTGCATCATCCAGCTGTCCCTGTGCACACCCAAGGTGCTCACACCGTGCTGATGCCACATTCACATCCTCAATGCTCAACGAGCTGCAATGCAGCAGCAGCCACAGCTGGGTCCTGCTCTGGGGCAGCTCTGCAGGGAGTGAGAGTTGGAGCTCCAGCTCCAGGAGCAAGCCTGGAGACAGCAGCATCTTCCCAGTGGCTCCTCCATCCTGGCTGTCCTGAGTTCTGGCCATGTCTCCTCTGTGGAGGAAAGGCCATGTGTGTGTGGGATACCCCAGCCTCGGTTTGTTGGCTTGTGTTGTGTTTGATGAGGAAGCAGATCCCCATTTGTCAACACACGCAGCTGAGTCACTGCTGGGTTATTTTGGACTCTGTGTACTAAGGCACTCGAGGGGCAGCTCCAACACTCTGTCCTGGCAAATGCAGAGTTTTTAATCAAGGTTGTCATGAGCAGGCTCCATGTCATCTAAATCTAAGCGATTATGTAAAGATGGCACTATCTGAACACTTGCTCATGGATGGAAGGCTGCCTGTATCTGATCTTATCTTCCACCTTATCTTCTTCCTTTCTTTCAATGATGAACACACAATTCAATGTATATTTAGCATTAAAACCATTTAGTATTTAGTGACCGTAGAGTAAGGGTAGGAGGATGAGCACTGGATTTAGAGAGTGTCAGTAGTGGCTCTACAACAGAGAGTAAACTCTTGCAGTTATCTCCTACCAGAGAGCAAAACCACGTGGGCACTGCTGCCTGAATGTGTGATACAGTCTGGTTTGGCTGCCCAGGGCAGCTGGTGCTGGGCAATTACCCAGAGGTCATGGAACCACGGTGTTTTTTCTGCAGACACTATGTCCAGTCAGATCTGCTATTATATTTGAGGGAAAGGGGAAAATCAAGCACAGCCCACTCTCAAAATCCAGCACCAATCCAGCACACATAGAGATGATGTCCCGGATGTGTTAAATAATTGTCAGTTATGAAAAGCTTGAAATGTTGCCAAGCAGTGGCATCGTGTCCCTCCAGGAATCAATCCTGTCTGAGGGCAGAGACCTGCAGAGCCCTCCTCTCCCCCTAGCAAGAGCCAGAAGGTGGCACACACTGTTTCTGAGGCATTTCCACGTGGGTTATGGCAGGCAGGGAAAGGCCTTAGGGGATGAGTAACTCATCTGAGAATAAGAATATTGTCTGGTGTTTTCTCAGTCCAGCCTAGAAAAGAAAGGTCTTGGGAATTTGCTCCTGGACTTTGGGTAATGTGTTTAGTGTTTCTGGCTGTGCTGCTCCATCAACCAATCCTGCTCCATGGCAATCACATGAATCACATGGCAAGCC